TCAACTGGGCTCTCCAGGCCAATGGAGACTCCACCTCAGACATCAGAAGAGCTTCAAGGCCAAGGACAAGACATGAGAGTCAAGACAAAGATCCACCCAAAGGGAAACAGTTCTTGCCATACATCAAGGGAACCACTGACCGCATTGGGAAGCTGGTGAAGAAGCACAACCTACAAACTATCTCCAGACCCACCAAGAGAATCCAACAAAGACCTCACAACCTCTGATGCCACAGATGCAGGCGAAACATCAGGAGAGAATGCTTCTAGAACATGGCCATATAGCCTGAAAAAATTACAACAACCCAATTCAACAAATGCTCCGTTCATGTCAGGAGTCAATTTCTGACGGCATGAAGACATCACAAATTCCCTCCGTGACATCCTGACTGAATCATCCTGGATGCCTTTTCTCTCTGTGATAATTTGAAGCCAGCAGAGGGTGCTGGAAACCTTGTATTGGAACTTGTGAAGCAAGAAGCTCTAATAAGGAAACTGAGAAGAGGGGGAAATGGGCAGGAAAGGTGTATAAAAGGAAGTGGTGGTGGGGAAAAGTCAGTAGTGTCTTTCTTTGCTGCAGAGATACAAGCAATATATTCATTTCCAAGCAAAACCGGCTTGTGAGTGATCATTTAATATTGCTATATAAAACCTACAGTCTTACAGTTCAGCAAAGGGCAAGAGGGACCCTCTCACCTCTGCAGGAGCCTGCCGGATACCATGCAGCTGTGGACAAGTCTACATAGATAGGGACCCCCAAATGCAGCAGCATTGCCCAACACACGATTCAAGGAACGTGAAAGGCACTGCAGACTCCTTCAACCAGAGAAGTCAGCCATAGCAGAGCAGCTGAGGAACCAACCTGGACACAGCAGATTATTGGAGAACATAGACATGCTGGACCACTCTCACAACCACCATGGCAGACAACACAGAGAAGCCACTGAAATCCACAAGAAGTATGTGGACAATTTCAACAGACAGGAGGAAACCATGAAAATGAACAACATCTGGTTACCAGTGTTACAAAACACCAGAATCAAGGCAGTAAATAAAGAACAAAACTCAAACACAGGGGAACTCCAGTCAAGGAACAACCAGGGACAGCTAATCACCTCTCAACAAAGGATTCCCCCAGGCAGGAACAAGGCACACCTAAAAACTGCCTGGCCATCAAATGCTAATAATATAATATATTGTATATACATATAATATTTATAATATTATAATGTAATACAATATGCTAATAATAATATGATATTATAATTTTATATTTATATTACATGTACTATTACTAATAATATTACAATATAATGGTATAATACAATATAGTAATATATAATGGAGCTCCCAGTGGCGCAGTGGGTTAAAGCGCTGAGCTTATGAGCTTGTTGACCGAAAGGTCACAGGTTCGTTTCCGGGGAGCGGCGTGAGTTTCCGCTGTCAGCCCTAGCTTCTGCCAACCTAGCAGTTTGAAAACATGTAAATGTGAGTAGATCAATAGGTACTGCTCCGACGGGAAGGTAACGGCGCTCCATACAGTCATGCCGGCCACATGACCTTGGAGGTGTCTATGGACAACGCCGGCTCTTTGGCTTAGAAATGGAGATGAGGACCAACCCCCAGAGTCAGACATAACTGGACTTAATGTCAGGGGACAAACTTTACCTAATATATAATACTGATATTGCATTATGCTATTGGAATATAGATTAAGGGACAATGAGAGTGGATGCTGATTCTATTGATGAGATGTGATGGATTGTTATTTTGTGGTATTGTTGGATTGATGTTTTGATGTGAATTAATTGATATTGCTGTTTTAATTGACTAATGATCTGTTTTGTACTGCTGAATTGGTTGTTAACCGCTCTGAGTCGCCTGAGGACTGAGAAGAGCGGTATACAAGTGAAGTAAATAAATAAAATAAATAAATATATTATGTGTGTGTGTTTGTGTGTGTGTGTATGTATGTATGTATGTATGTATCTTGTAAGCTGCTCTGAGTCCTCTTCGGGCAGCATATAAATGTTGCAAACAAAATAAATAAATAAATAATCAAGGTGGCCAATTGCAACATCCACACCTTGCTCCGACAGACAAGAGTTCTTTCTCCCACCTGGACATCATTCCACAGATATATAAACCCAATTTTCCTAGTTGCAGGTGAAATGTCAGGAGAGAATGCTTCTAGAACATGGCCAAACAGCCCATAAAACTTACAACAATCCAGTTTCCTATCCTGTTTCATTGCCCAACTGTCAGCAGTCTCTTGTATCCTATGGGGTTCGATGCCGAACAATATTATTACGTGGAAAGAAGTGGTTCCAACCTGGAGTACTGTCTCTTGTATCTTATGGATTCGATGCAGAACAGTACTATCCCATGGAAAGAAATGGTTTTAACGTGGTGTGAGTCTCCTTTAATGTAAGGGGCAGGACAAGGGAACTCAATTGCTGCATCGTCTTTTTTGCAAGGAGTCTGTATCAATTTGGTTGAAGTCGAATCCTTGCCAAGCCTGCCAAGGCTGAATTCAGGCTCCATTACCAAACTAATCATCAAGTTTGCAGACGACACCAAATTGGGAGAGATAGCCAACACTCCAGAGGACAGGAGCAAGATTCAAAACAATCTTGACAGATTAGAGAGATGAAGGGCCAAAGCTAACAAAATGAAGTTCAACAGTGACAAATGCAAGAGACTCCACTTTGGCAGGAAAAACGAAATGCAAAGATACAGAATGGGGGACGCCTGGCTCGAGAGCAGTACGTGTGAAAAAGATCTTGGAGTCCTCGTGGACAACAAGTTAAACATGAGCCAACAATGTGATGTGGTGGCAAAAAAAGCCAATGGGATTTTAGCCTGCATCAAGAGGAGCCTAGTGTCTAGATCCAGGGAAGTCATGCTACCCTCTATTCTGCTTTGGTTAGACCACATCTGGAATATTGTGTCCAATTCTGGGCCACAATTCAAGAGAGGTATTAACAAGCTGGAATGTGTCCAGAGGAGGGCGACTAAAATGATCAAGGGTCTGGAGAACAAGCCCTATGAGGAGCGGCTTAAGGAGCTGGGCATGTTTAGCCTGAAGAAGAGAAGGCTGAGAGGAGATATGATAGCCATGTATCAATACGTGAGAGGAAGCCACAGGGAGGAGGAGGGAGCAAGCTTGTTTTCTGCTTCCCTGGAGACTAGGACACGGAACAATGGCTTCAAACTACAAGAAAAGAGATTCCATCTGAACATGAGGAAGAACTTCCTGACTGAGATTCCATCTGAACGTGAGGAAGAACTCCCTGACAGTGAGAGCCGTTCAGCAGTGGAACTCTCTGCCCCGGAGGGAGTGTGGTGGAGGCTCCTTCTTTGGAAGCTTTTAAACAGAGGCTGGATGGCCATCTGTCAGGGGTGCTTTGAATGCAATATTCCTGCTTCTTGGCAGAATGGGGTTGGACTGGATGGCCCAGGAGGTCTCTTCCAACTCTAGGATTCTATGATTCTATGATAATCTAAGACCAGTAAGACTTACCTTTGGTCTCAACGGCATTGATGCATTTCCTGACAAACCGGAAGCCGATTTCGTTCAGCTCCACTGTGGGGAGGCAAAAAGGAGAACACATTTCAGAAGTGACCCAAGGCAAATCACTGCCATACTTATTATGGTCAAGAGAGGGCAGTAGGGGATGTCCCAAGGTGCAACATCCATACATACACAGATGCAGATGGCCCGACTTACTTTCCTCCTGCTTTGTGATGGGACTGTGGTAGATCTGCAAAACAAGCAAGAGAGGAAAGTAAAGGCTCAAGTGAACCCATTGGAAACTAGACTTGCTCACACATCTCTCCCTTCCTGGCATCTCCCATTTACCTAGAACACTTAAAAATATGATTTAGGATATCAGATTTGCATGGAACTCATTTGATGCAATATACAAGCATAATGTTTTCGAAAAGACTCCCAACATGAATTGCAAACCATTCTGCAAATGAGTGAATGGCATGGGGAAGATACTATTTCTTATGATTATAATTTCTTATAATATTATATTATCCAATATATTATATAATAAAGCCCTACATAGTTTGGGTCCAGGTTACTTAAAGGATCTGTTGCACTTAGGACAGGAAAAGCCCTCTGACTTTAAACACCACACCATTGGATGGAAAACAATCCTTTTATTGAAGATAATTGAAAAACTAAAAGGTAAAAACCACTTTAAAGAAATAGGCAAATCCAATTAGGTAGGAAGATAAGCAGGAACAAAGTAATTCAGAGTAACAGTCCAGCAAAGTCCAAAAAAACCAAGGCAAAACTTTCCAAATAAAATGCAAAGAATCAGGAAACATGAAACCAAGGCAAACCATTCTGCAAATGAGTGAAGGGCATGGGGAAGATACTATTTCTTATTATTATAATTTCTTATAATATTATATTATTATATTATCTAATATATTATATAATAAAGCCCTACATAGTTTGGGTCCAGGTTACTTAAAGGATCTGTTGCACTCAGGGCAGGAAAAGCCCTCTGATTTTAAACACCACACCGTTGGAGGGAAAACAATCCTTTTATTGAAAATAATTAAAAAGCGAAAAGGTAAAAAAAACTTTAAAGAAATAGGTAAATCCAGTTAAGTAGGAAGATAAGCAGGAACAAAGTAATTCAGAGTAACAGTCCACCAAAGTCCATAAAAACCAAGGCAAAACTTTCTAAATAAAATGCAAAGAATCAGGAAACATGAAACCAAGGCATGAATATAGAGCATAAAATCTAAGACCCTAACACTACGAAACAAAGGCACTTAAAACATGAATTTCCCAAGCAAAACTTCCATTAAGAATGAGATCTTGACTTGATTCCAAATGATGCTTCATCTGACTACATATCCTTAACTTTGAACTTTTATCTCCTCATTAGCTATGTCTCTAGCATTCAGAAATTAGTTCGCTTTAACTGAGAACTTCTTATCTTTTTTTCTCAAAGCCTGGCAGACCACCAAAGCCATTGTTCAGCTCTCCTGTTTTGCCTAATCTCCCCATGTCTATACATTTGCTCATTAATTTCTGCAGCTGGGCCAGGTGCTGAATTGGGAACTCTCTGGTAACAATTCAGAAAGCACACCATCACCCCCCACACCACTCAGGGACATTCTCATGGGAAACTACACTTTGAACAGAGATCTCCAGATCACTGACCAAACCATTGCCATCTTGAAACTCATTGACATCACTCCCCACATCCAAAGCACCCTTATTTGTCATGTCAGGGCAACCAGTCAATTGTATTACATTTCTAACAGAACAAAACAAACAAACAGACAGACAAACAGACAAAACACACAAGCTTAGTAGTTGATCAAATGTCCTTTGAGCAGTATCTGGCCACTTGGAGTGCCTCTGGTGTTGCCGCAAGAAGGTCCTCCCTTGTGCATGTGGCAGGGCTCAGGTTGCATTGCAGCAGGTGGTCAGTGGTTTGCTCTTCTCCACACTCGCATGTCGAGGATTCCACTTTGTGGCCCCATTTCTTGAGGTTGGCTCTGCATCTCGTGGTGCCAGAGCGCAGTCTGTTCAGCGCCTTCCAAGTCACCCATTCTTCTGTGTGCCCAGGGGGGAGTCTCTCATTGGGTATCAGCCATTGGTTGAGGTTCTGGGTTTGAGCCTGCCACTTTTGGACTCTCGCTTGCTGGGGTGTTCCAGCGAGTGTCTCTGTAGATCTTAGAAAACTATTTCTTGATTTAAATTATTGACGTGCTAGCTGATACCCAAAAAGGGGATGAGCTGGAGATGTCTCTGCCTTGGTCCTTTCACTATTGGCTGCTACTTCCCGGCGGATGTCAGGTGGTGCAATACCGGCTAAGCAGTGTAATTTCTCCATTGGTGTAGGGCGCAGACACCCCGTGATAATGCAGCATGTCTCATTAAGAGCCACATCCACTGTTTTAGTGTGGTGAGATGTGTTCCACACTGGGCATGCATACTCAGCAGCAGAGTAGCAAAGCTAAAGGGCAGATGCCTTCACTGTGTCTGGTTGTGATCCCCAGGATGTGCCAGTCAGCTTTCGTATGATATTGTTTCTAGCACTCACTTTTTGCTTGATGTTCAGGCAGTGCTTCTTGTAGGTCAGAGCACGGTCCAGAGTGACTCCCAGGTATTTGGGTGCGCTGCAATGCTCCAGTGGGATTCCTTCCCAGGTAATAATCCTCAGAGCTCAGGATGCTTGTCTGTTCTTAAGGTGAAAGGCACACGTCTGTGTTTTAGATGGGTTAGGGATCAGCTGGTTTCCCCTGTAAGAGGCAGTAAGAGCACCTAGAGCTTTGGAGAGCTTCAGTTCAACCATCTTAAAGCTCCCTGCTTGAGCGGTGATGGCACGATCATCAGCATAGATGAAGCTCTCTGTCCCTTCTGGCAGTGGCTGATCCCTGATCCTGGAACACAATCACAAGCTGAGCTCCTTCTGGCATACATTACCCCTTTGGACACTGAGGTCCTCTGGGTTTTCCATTTATTTCAACCAGCCAAAACCCTGAAAACTGCAAACAGCTGGACAACAATTTTTTGATATTCTTTCCCCTTCTGCCCCACTTACAGTTCTATCTATGCTAGGAGTGTGCAGATGTTTTTTCTTCTTCTCAGCCCTGATAGGCTTCCTGGGGTGCCATTGTATCCCCTTTTCCCGGCTAAGACACCTCCCCTCCCCCAGCACCCCTCAATTGTGGGATCTATCTGACTTGCTCTTGGAAGGTGCGTAGTGTTTCCTACCGGTTCCTTTCCATCCATGGCCTCCATCCAGAGCCGCCGGTTGGCTTCCGATGAAGCCTGCAAGGTGATGGGCCCAGGTCTGCAAACGCGAGATCAAAAACAGAGAAAATTAATATTAAATGGTTTTGATCATGTTTCTTCCAATACCTAAAAATAAAGCATTTGAACCACCACTGGGAGTATCATGTCAACTTCTCCAACTGGTTCCGATTCACTCTCACGCAATCTGCGTGTTTCGTTTCTCTTGAAGTTCTGAACATTCTCTCTAACTTGAATTTTCTCTTTTTTAAAAAATATTTATTTATACAAAATGATATAAGAATTGCAGCTAAGACAAAAACAAACAAAATGTAACAATAACAAACAGTTATCTCTCCTTCCCAACACCACCTCAGACTTCCATCGCCACTCACTGTGATGCTTACATCATATGATGCCCACCCTCATAAATTCCTTAAAATATTCCTTTTGCAGCTTCCATAAAATCTGCTTTTGCATTTCTTTCAAAATATACAAACAGCAGCCTCCATTTATTTGCAAACTTCAATATGGAAGAACGTCCAGAAAATCAATATAGAGAACATTCGGAAATTCAAGAGAAGCAAAACACTCAGTTTGTATGAGAGTGAATTGTCCACCTTCTTCTATTATCTGGGGAGGAGGGCATTGATGGTTGTGACTATTGGGGCCAAATCAGGTCCCAAAGGTTGCTGGGTTGTTGTAGGTTTTTTTCGGGCTATATGGCCATGGTCTAGAGGCAGTTTCTCCTGATGTTTCGCCCGCATCTATGGCAAGCATCCTCAGAGGCAGTGAGGTCTGTTGGAACTAGGAAAATGGGTTTATATATCTGTGGAATGACCAGGGTGGGACAAAGGACTCTTGTCTGCTGGAGCTAGGTGTAAATGTTTCAACTGACCCCCTTGATTAGCATACAATGGCCTGACTGTGCCTGGGGCAAACTTTTGTTGAGAGGTGATTTGATGTGCCTGATTGTTTCCTCTCTGTTGTTGTGCTGTTGCAGTTTTAGAGTTTTTTAATACTGGGAGCCAGATTTTGTTCATTTTCATGGTTTCCTCCTTTCTGTTGACATTGTCCACATGCTTCTTCTGGGTTTCAGTGGCTTCTCTGTGTAGTCTGACTGATATATAAACAGATATATAAACCCTTTTTCCTAGTTCCAACAGACCTCACTACCTCTGAGGATGCTTGCCATAGATGCAGGCGAAATGTCAGGAGAGAATGCCTCTAGAATATGGCCATATAGCCCGAAAAAACCTACAACAACCCAGTGATTCCAGCCATGAAAGCCTTCAACAATCCAAAGGTTGTTACTTGTACTTCCCAATACTCTTGATTTCCTTAGACCACCCATTTTCTGGCAAAACGGATGGACCACTCTCTCCTAGATGTCACCTTCAATTCTTTTCAAAGTAGGCCATAGGAACCCCTTTTACAAGGGTTGAATGAAAAGTAACGCCTCCACCTTGGTTACTTGAGTTTGGATGGGAATATTTTAATAAATCAAACGCAGAAATAATCCTTGGAATGTGCTCTTTAACTATCACTTTTCTACATAATCACCAGACAATTGGATACATTTCTGCCAACGATGGACAAGTTTTCTAAAGCTGTCACGGAAGAAGTCGACACTCTGTTTCCGCAACCAGCATCTCATAGTTCTCTCAACGTCTTCATCAGAAGCATAGTGATGTTCCCGCAGATGTTCTTTCATTATCGGGAACAGAAATGCTGATTATGCTTGAAATTTCTCTCAGTGTGATACAACAATCGTCCTGAATCCTTCTGTCAACCTTTTGCTTGTGAAACTCGGTGGTTGCTGTTACAGGACGTCCAACTCTTTGTTTGTCGCGCAAGTCAGATGTTCCCACCTCAACATCTTTAAACTTACTCGCCCAACGATGCACAGTACTCACATCAACACAATCACCCTAAACAGCTTGCATTCTCTGATGAATCTCCTTTGGGGTGACACTTTCTTCTGTCAATAATTCAATGACTGCACCCTGCTTAAGTCACATTGACCGACAGTCTGCGCAGGGTTCCATACTTCGCACTTTAACAACACAACCGTTCAATGCTAAGGCTTTCTGCCAAAATGGAACTATAGAGGAGAGTCTACTGAACAAGCCAGTACCTGTTGCATACCAGTACTGCCATCTGTTGAGGAATTATGAAAGTGGAGGCATTACTTTTCATTCAACCCCCGTACCATTTGACAGCAAGAGGAGCTTCTGTACTTCAAATCCAGTCATTAACTTCAGGCTACGTTCAGTTTGACTTTGTTCTGATACCATACAACCGCAAAGACTCTCAGGGAAATGGCCCCACATTGTGACATGATACATGATGGTGGACCTTCGTATTTGTTCAGACAGAGTCGACCCAAGAGCCAATGAAGCTGCCATGTCATCTTCAGCGGTTCTCTACTCCTGCTCACCTTTCAAGTGTCTCGATGTCAAAGCAAAACCGTTTGTCTATGGAGTCGGTCTTCCTCCTCACACAGGACTTGAGCATCAGGTGCAAGGGACCCTGAGAAGAGAGACAGTGAGAGCCAACCTCTTTGTAGAACTAATAAACAAAGAAGAGTCAACACAGCGTAGTGTTGAAATCAATGCAAATCCATCAGGACAAAGAAGTGGGCCAAGGCAGTCTTGCAAAGTCAGAGGATGATTAAAGGAGGTTCTTAGACCTGTTTGTTTGGAAGCCATGGGAATAGAATCCTAATTAGTGGATTTGCCTTGAGGCTGATAACGATCACCACCACCCAAGAAGTATCACCACCTACAAGCATCCACAACTACATATGAACAGTAAGACTGGGGAGTTGCAACTCAGCATCCAACAATGAATTATGGGCTTTTTTCCCCAATGGCAGCAGTCATGGAGGACCATCTTCCATTCCATGAAGACGTCCCTAGCACATAGTTGGTCAACTTTGGCAGCGCCTTTGGTCCAGTATCCCTAATGCCTTCTCCCACCAAAACCACCTTGATTCTCAAACTGGGGAAAGAGGAGGACAGGGAGGAATTCTATTGATGAGTTCCACCTAGATATGGCCCATTCCTGAAACATGACACATAAGTTATTTCCATGATTCATTGGGTTTCTCCTAGTCAAGAAGAACAACTGGTATTGGAGGAAAGTGAGTCTCTTGAGGGGAGGGGTATGTTGGACTGGGCAAGTAGCAAATGCTTCCCTTCCCAACAACAATAGAAGGATGGAGGTGGCAGAAGTCATGAAGGACCATCTTCCATTCCATGAAGACGTCCCTAGCACATAGTTGGCCAACTTTGGCAACGCCTTTGGTCCAGCATCCCTAATGCCTTCTCCCACCAAAACCACCTTGAGTCTCAAACTAAGGAAAGAGAAGGACAAGGAGGAGTTATGTTGATGAGTTCCAGCTAGAGATGACCCATTCCTGAAACATGACACATAGCTTACTTTCATGATTCATTGGATTTCTCCTAGTCAAGAAGAACAACTGGTATTGGAGGAAAGTGAGTCTCTTGAGGGGAGGGGGATGTTGGACTAGGCAAGTAGCAAATGCTTCCTTTCCCAACAACAATAGAAAGATGGAAGTGGCAGAAGTCATGAAGGACCATCTTCCATTCCATGAAGACGTCCCTAGCACATAGTTGGCCAACTTTGGCAACGCCTTTGGTCCAGCATCCCTAATGCCTTCTCCCACCAAAACCACCTTGAGTCTCAAACTAAGGAAAGAGAAGGACAAGGAGGAGTTATGTTGATGAGTTCCAGCTAGAGATGACCCATTCCTGAAACATGACACATAGCTTACTTTCATGATTCATTGGATTTCTCCTAGTCAAGAAGAACAACTGGTATTGGAGGAAAGTGAGTCTCTTGAGGGGAGGGGGATGTTGGACTAGGCAAGTAGCAAATGCTTCCTTTCCCAACAACAATAGAAAGATGGAAGTGGCAGAAGTCATGAAGGACCATCTTCCATTCCATGAAGACGTCCCTAGCACATAGTTGGCCAACTTTGGCAACGCCTTTGGTCCAGCATCCCTAATGCCTTCTCCCACCAAAACCACCTTGAGTCTCAAACTAAGGAAAGAGAAGGACAAGGAGGAGTTATGTTGATGAGTTCCAGCTAGAGATGACCCATTCCTGAAACATGACACATAGCTTACTTCCATGATTCATTGGGTTTCTCCTAGTCTGTTCTTCTTGACTTTGGAGGAAAGTGAGTCTCTTGAGGGAAGAGGGTTGTTGGACAAGGCAAGTAGCAAATGCTTCCCTTCACAACAATAGTAGAAAGATGGAAGTGATGTGTATCACCAACAAGATGGTCAACGTTGTGCATTTCACCTGTCCTCACACCAAACTCTATGGGGAGCAACTATGTCATGATAAAATATGCTGTATAGTTTGAGTGAGATTGTATGAAAGGCGTACGAATGTGGCCTAATTGGGCTGAAGATACCATTCTAAGGAATGAGGCCTGGAAAACTACAAGAAACAGGTGAAGAACTCATGGACTGTAATTAAAAATTGCTGATGAGACTGGAAACAAATGATTAACTGTTGACATTGCTGATGGGTCTTCTAAGTAAGGAAGTCAACACTGTGGCTCTTTACAGAAATGTTTACAAGGCTCCTTGATAAGGAAAGCCAATTAAGCAAAATCAACATCTGTCCAGGAACTGATGGAATCTGTCTGTCAGCAATTTACAACTTTCAGAACCACATCAACAGGAAATCTATATAAATAAAAATGTAACGTCCATTTGTGGGATTATCAGAACTCAAAAACTACTGGACAAACTGCCGCCAAATTTGACCACAAGACACTTACTAACCCAAGGAGTGACCATCACTAAAAAAAAATGATTTTGTCATTGGGGAGTTGTAGTTGCTGGGATTTATAGTACACCGACAATCAAAGAGCATTCTGGACTCCACCAATGAAGGAATTGAATCAACTGTGGCACACAGGGCTCCCATGACCAACAGAAAACACTAGAAGGGTTTAGTGGACCTTGACCTTGAGTTTGGGAGTTGTAGTTCACCTACATCCAGAGAGGACTTTGGACTCAAACAATGATGGATCTGGACCAAACTTGGCACGAATATTCCATATGCCCAAATATGAACACAGGCGGAGTTTGGGGGAAATAGACCCTGACATTTGGGAGTTATAGTTACTGGGATTTATAGTTCATCTACAATCAAAGAGCATTCTGAACTCCACCAACGACATAATTGGGCAAACTTCCCACACAGAACCCCCATGACCAATAGAAAATACTCAAGGCTAGATATTGGAAAACCCCAGATATACCTCCTTTAGAAGAATGGGAAAAATATATTATAGATATGTTGATAATGGACAAAATAACTGTATTATTAAGAGGAGAAACATTAGACAACTTTGTTAATGAATGGCAACCAATGATTCAACACCTTAATGTAAAGTTAAATTAAAAATGTATATAGAGGATCCTATAAGACTGTAGACAGGATCCTCTATATACATTTTTAATTTAATCTTGAGTTTGGGAGTTGTAGTTCACCTACATCCAGAGAGCACTTTGGACTCAAACAATGATGGATCTGGACCAAACTTGGCACAAATATTCCATATGCCCAAATATGAACACAGGTGGAGTTTGGGGGAAATAGACCCTGACATTTGGGAGTTATAGTTACTGGGATTTATAGTTCATCTACAATCAAAGAGCATTCTGAACCCCACCAACGACATAATTGGGCAAACTTCCCACACAGAACCCCCATGACCAATAGAAAATACTCAAGCAACGCGTAGCAGGGGACGGCTAGTACTACATAAAAGGGCCCTTCTCTCTCAGAAGGAGTGTGTTAGACCAACTGAACACCATTTCTGAACACCATCATGAACAGCCACTGCCTCCTCTCAAGAAGCTGATCATCTTCAACAAGGAGAATGGTAAGAATGCGTGAGGAATGAATGAGGAATGAATGATTGAATGTTAGAGTATATGTGTCAATGTGGGTTCAATATCCCCCTTTTATCTATGCAACCAATATAAATTATTATAAAACCAACTACTGGTGTCTACTGTGTCTATGTCTTTCTCTGAAAGTGCCTCCTGCAACCTGTCTCACTGAAAGCAGAATAAAAGAACCTATTTAATGTTTTAAAAAGGACTTATGACAACTGTTTGCTAAGAAACCAGCAGAGGAAGCCACTTACTTGCTTGGCTCCTGGCTTCTGCTCCATGGGCGTCATCCGTAACATCTTGGACTCCTTCTCATACTGGCAGTAGTACTTGACCCATGAGATCCCCAATGCCCCTAGAGCAAAGCAAAGGGTTTAACGAAACTTTATTACAGTCCAAAGACCCAATTTGCGCAACTGTAAAAAGAGCACAACAGATTCATAAACTGATGACTTAAAAGCAGGACGAATGCCATGCTAGATGCACATGGACAAGGGTAAAAACACTGCTAATATATACAAGGAAAGTTTCAACCTGAGTCTAATATTGACAAGCTGGAATGTGTCCAGAGGAGGGCGACTAAAATAATCAAGGGTCTGGAGAACAAGCCCTATGAGGAGCGGCTTAAGGAGTTGGGCATGTTCAGCTTGAAGAAGAGAAGGCTGAGAGGAGATATGATGAGAGCCATGTATAAATATGTGAGAGGAAGTCATAGGGAGGAGAAGGGAGCAAGCTTCCTTTCTGCTTCCCTGGAGACTAGGACGCAATGGAGCCATGGCTTCAAACTACAAAGGAGGAGATTCCATCTGAACATGAGGAAGAACTTCCTGACTGTGAGAGCCATTCAGCAGTGGAACTCTCTGCCCCGGAGTGTGGTGAAGTCTCCTTCTTTGAAGGTTTTTAAACAGAGGCTGGATGGCCATCTGTCAGGGGTGATTTGAATGCAATATTCCTGCTTCTTGGCAGAATGGGGTTGGACTGGATGGCCCAGGAGGTCTCTTCCAACTCTTTGATTCTATGATTCTATGAGTGAAAGAGCCTTCAATACAATCTGTTCAAATAGTCACTGCTAGGTGTTGAAGCTTGAGATCACACATCCCCACCTCTGCTCAAAGTTTACTCTTGCTTCTTGGCAGAATGGGGTTGGACTGGATGGCCCATGAGGTCTCTTCCAACTCTTTGATTCTATGATTCTATGATTCTATGGTCTTTTTGGGTTTATTATCTGACCTGCCAGCTTAATTTGCCAAAAGATAATGTGAGATCCTCTTGGCCAGAGGAATAGGATGAGTGAAACCCTCATGGGATGGGAATCCAAAGGCATTTGGACAAAAATGCTTCTGGCAGATAGTCTATGCTGTCTTGACTTGATGCTGTCTATGACTTGCTTCATGTAGGACTGACCCACGTCAATATACACAAAAGGTGGACCCATGGACACCAATCAGAGTGAGTCCTAACCAGGGTTGTCCTGGTCATCTGTTCAGTGAACCACAGAGTTGGAGGCAACTCCATGGATCATCTAGCCCAACTCACTCCCAGCATAGGAATCCACCACTAAGATACTTCAGACATGGTTGCAAATCCTCCAGCATCTTCCAGTGGACCCTCAACATCCATGCCTGGATATGGGAGACAGATCTTCAACGTTATCTCACCAAAGTACCAGTCACTTACATTTCTCCTGGGAATATAGGTATCCCTCTATGGTTGGCTTCCCAGGAAGTTTGCAGGTCTGGGGTGCTTCCTTCATCCGTTTCTTGAGGTCCTCCAACTCTTCTCGCGTGCTGGTGAAATGGTTCCTCGTCTGTTGAAGGATGAGGAAAGTCAGAAGTACTTCTAGAGAAGCACAAAAAAGGAAGGGAGATCTTGAGTGGTTTGAGCAAACTCACATTTTGCAGGCTGAGCTGGAGCTGTTGTTTATATGGAAGGAAGTCCTGGGTCAACTCCACGGTCAGGTTGTTGTAGGTGAAGAGGCTGTGAAGAAAGGCCAGCACCTGTAGAAGGAACAAAGGACGGCTTATATGGGCAGCAAGTTCAGACTCATTCTGTGTCAAATCCAACAGTAAGACGACCAAAATTCCAAAATCCAAAATCCAATATTGTCGATATAGGTTCAAGAGATCAGTGGGAGGAATCTCAGAGCAAGAGGGCTGCCTTGAAAAATGTGTGTATAATATGTATACAAACTCTCGTATGAATACGAACCATGTTTGATGTTTTGTTGATCATACCTAACAATACCAAACAGGGATTGCTTCATCACCAAGGCTCATCCCCACATTTCTGCCATGCTTACCGGCTCCACGATACTGAATTTCTTGCTTTCTTGCACCTGTTGGATCTGATACACATATTCCAGAGAGGACTCAAAGAAATTGTGGCGCTCTTTATCCACTTGCAAGTCCGCCTGGATGAGGAATGTGACAAAAAGAAAGAGGTCACGCAACATGCTATTGCAATGTCCATGGAGGCCATAGCACCACAAACAACCAAGAACAACCATTCCTCTAAGAAAAAACCCATGCATTTTGTGCCTTTCCACCACGATTGGAATCACGTTGTTCCAATTTCTTAGCTGAACTTTATTTGAACTTAATTCACTCTTGATGAAATGAATGAGGAATCGAAAGAGATGAAGGCTGGAAGGATTGTGGCGCAGCTGGCTGAGTGTCAGCTGCATTAAGATCACTCTGACCAAAAGGTCATGAGTTCGAAGCCAGCCCGGGTTGGAGTGGGTTTCCAACCAATTGGGTGTAGCATGTTGTCGACCTTTGCAACCCAAAAGACAGTTGCATCTGTCAAGTAGGAAAATTAGGTACCACCTTAAAAAAGTGTGGGGATGCTAAATTAACTGATTTATGAGGCCATAAAGAAGACTCCAGCAAAACATTCCAGCAGGGAAGCATGCGGGGAATGCGGAAGTGCTTCATCAGCATCGCAGGTGGACGATGAAAGCGACAGCTTCCCTGGCGGCCAGAAAAAGTTAAATAGCCTCTGTGTATGTCTGTATATGTTTGTATGTCAAAAATTGGCATTGAATGTTTGCCATATATGTGTACACTGTAATCCGCCCTGAGTCCCCTGCAAATAAATAAATAAATGACTATGACTGGATTGACGACTTGGCTTAGGTAATTGTGATGATGATGTTTTTATTGTACTTTATTGTACTATTTTAATATGTAATGACGTTGCACTTTGTGTACTTATATATTATTGTACTTTCATATATGCTGTAAACCGACCTGAGTCCCTCGCTGAGGTGAGAAGGCCAGTATAGAAAACTTCTAAATAAATAAATACATAAATAAATAAATAGGAAGCCATTGATCAATGGGCAAGTATGATCTGAAGATGCAACAAGGCTTCCTTAGTGTTTCTGACTGGCAGTAGATGGTTTTGTTTTGGTTTTTTTGTGGAAACTCCTGGTATGGTTTCTACAAACCAAAAGAAGCTCCTCGTAGAGTCTATTTTGACCAAAAAACATAATACCCATGAAAAATATTGGGCTTGAGAGTATCCAGAAGGACAACGGATCACACAGTGCTCCTTCCAGCTCACATAGAGCTTGAGGTTGCATGCTCCCCTCCTTTAGCTTGCTTTATTAATCAAAAATAGAGAGTGAACTTCCTGTTTTGGAAAAAAAATGCAGAAAATTGAATTTTGGAGAGTGAGGAAGCTAAAGTCAAGAGAGGGAGACAGAATGGGCCTACGAAGCTACCAAAGTCTTGAGTCTCTTTTGGGGAGAGATAAAGCAAGGTATAAATACCGTATTTACTCGACTCTAATGCTCACCTTTTTGGACTAAATTACCTTCCCAAAATTAGGGTGTGCATTAGATAGGTGTAATATGGTAAACACTTTTTTTGGGTTTCAGGGTTTTGAAAACTGAGGTGCGCGTTAGAGTCAATGGTGCACTAGCTTCAAGTAAATCGAAATAACAACAACAACAACAACAACAACAACAACAAGCTGACACGATATGAGGATTTAAAGATTGGACCGCTAAAACTCTGGCACAAGCCAGTAAAGGTGGTCCCAATGGTGATCAGCACACTGGGTGCAGTACCTCAAGACCTTGGCCTGCACTTAAATACAATTGGCGCTGACAAAATTACAATCTGCAAAAGGCCACCTTACTGGGATGTGCACACATTATTCACCCAAACGTCACAGTCCTAGACACTTGGGAAGTGTCCGATGTGTGATCCAATACAACAGCCAGCAGAGTGGTCTTGTCTGCTGTGGACTCATCTTGTTGTGTTTCTAATCATCATCATCATCATCATCATCATCATCATCATCATCATCATCATCTTGGCTAGCTCTGGACAATGTCTTTGGACGGAATTACTACTAGGAATTCCGGAAGGACCAGAAACTGAACCCAGTTTGAGATGATAAATGTACTTGGTGTATTTCATTGAAGCTCCATCGTGGAGCTTATTATTATGGTCATCTACACTGTCTGCCCCCAAAAGAAAGAAAATCTCCAGCTTTGGAGATCCAATTGACCAGCCCAATAATAGACGTGGCCAAGTTTAACAATTGGGACACAAAATTGTGGACCGAAGAAGTAGATGCCATTCGGCCCTCCGAACAGTGTTGGACTGCAAATCCCAGCAACCATAGCCAGGACAGCCATGATTATGGACTGTGGGAGTTGCATCCCTGGCTGAATCCAACACAGCTTCCTATCAACCGGGGCTTCCAGTCTTTGCAACTGGGCAACCTCTCTGCTTACCTCTTGCAACTGGGACTCTTTCTTCTTGGAGGACAAGTTCAAATGGCGGTCCAGCATGGAGTAAAACCTCTCTCCGTCCTTCTCAAATTTCTTCTTGCGCTCCTAGAAAGGAAGGGTTTGCAACAGGGTTTGGTTGTGGGATGTGGAAGTTTCCAAAGGCAAAAAAGAAGTGAAGGAGGAAAAGCCAAGCCAAGAAGACAAGGCTCGACACAACGCATGGCCCTGTCCCTCTACAAAACTCAATCATAGAATCATAGAATCCTAGAGTTGGAAGAGACCTCCTGGGCCACCCAGTCCAACCCCATTCTGCCAAGAAGCAGGAATATTGCATTCAAAGCACCCCTGACAGATGGCCATCCAGCCTCTGTTTAAAAGCTTCCAAAGAAGGAGCCTCCACCACACTCCGGGGCAGAGAGTTCCACTGCTGAACGGCTCTCACAGTCAGGAAGTTCTTCCTCATGTTCAGATGGAATCTCCTTCTTGTAGTTTGAAGCCATTGTTCCCGTCCTAGTCTCCAGGGAAGCAGAAAACAAGCTTGCTCCCTCCTCCCCGTGACTTCCCCTCACATATTTATACATGGCTATCATATCTCCTCTCAAGCCTTCTCTTCTTCACGCTAAACATGCCCAGCTCCTTAAGCCGCTCCTCATAGGGCTTGTTCTCCAGACCCTTGATCATTTTAGTCGCCCTCCTCTGGACACATTCCAGCTTCAACATCTCTCTTGAATTGTGGTGCCCAGAATTGGACACAATATTCCAGGTAAAGTGGTCTAACCAAAGCGGAATAGAGCATGGGGAGAAGGACTTCCTTGGACCTAGACACAAGACTCCTATTGATGCAGGCCAAAATCCCATTGGCTATTTTTTGCCGCCACATCACATTCCTGGCTCATGTTTAACTTGCTGTCCACGAGGACCCCAAGATCTTTTTCACACGTACTGCTCTCGAGTCAGGCCTCATCGTCCCCCATTCTGTATCTTTGCATTTTGTAGATGTCAACAATGAGGGGGTTACACTAGGTAGAGCTGCATGGAAAATGCAGAACTGTACAATGGGGGAACTTGCCATATTTACACTGCAAAACGACAGCAACGACACTCTTGCAAATGCAAAACCTGCCAATGATGCTCCATGTCAGCAACTACCAAGAAGCCCAAAACAGGAAGCCAACGAGTCCTGAAGCAAAGTGGGCATGAAGCGGAACTCGCCACACTTCATGGAGAGACAACCGAGGAGCTGGCATCACCCACAACCAAACAAAGCCTTAGAAACGGAGCTGGGTGCCAAGCCGCAAGAGGAAACCACAAAAAGGGGAAAGGATACACATGCAGGAAAGACTTTGCTGCAGTGTGTGTATTTTTATTCACACATGTATACACCAGGAATGTGAGTCAGCAGTGTGATGAGGCAACAAAAACAAGCAATTTCTGTCTGCATTTAGAGTTCCAAGCCAGAGTTTCCAAGCAAAACAAGTTTCCAAATGGAAGATGGGATGATTGTTCAACAAAATGAAGTTCAAAACTGACAAATGCAAGATACTCCACTTAGGAAGAAAAAACAAAATGCAAAGATACAGAATGGGGGATGATGATGCCTGACTCGAGGGCAGTATGTGTGAAAAAGATCTTGGAGTCCTCGTGGACAGGAAGGTAAACATGAGCCAGGAATGTGATGTGGTGGCAAAAAAAGCCAATGGGATTCTGTCCTGCATCAATAGGAGCATAGTGTCTAGATCTAGGGAAGTCATGCTCCCCATGCTCTAGTCCACTTTGGTTAGATCACTTTACCTGGAATCTTGTGTCCAATTCTGGGCAACACAATTCAAGAGAGATATTGACAAGCTGGAATGGGTCCAGAGGAGGGTGACTAAAATGATCAAGGGTCTAGAGAACAAGCCCTATGAGGAGCGGCTTAAGGAGCTGAGCATGTTTAGCCTGAAGAAAAGAAGGCTGAGAGGAGACATGATGAGGGCCATGTATAAATATGTGAGAGGAAGCCACAGGGAGGAGGGGGGAGCAAGCTTGTTTTCTGCTTCCTTGGAGACTAGGACGCAAGGGAACAATGGCTTCAAACTACAAGAGAGGAGATTCCATCTGAACATGAGGAAGAACTTCCTGACTGTGAGAGCCGTTCAGCAGTGGAACTCTCTGCCCCAGAGCGTGGCGGAGACTCCTTCTTTGGAAGCTTTTAAACAGAGGCTGGATGGCCATCTGTCAGGGGTGATTTGAATGCAATATTCCTGCTTCTTGGCAGAATGGGGTTGGACTGGATGATGGCCCAGGAGGTCTCTTCCAACTCTAGGATTCTAGGATTGGCCTGGAGAAGATTTTTAAATACTTCAAGAGGGACACCTTTGTTGTGTAATTAATATTAGGGGTGTGCAAAATGGCAGAAATCCGTACTGTTTTCAGTTCCATTTTTGGATGCCCCCCATTCTGCTTTTGGGAAAAATTGGGAAATTCAGGATTTTTTTGGATCCGGAATTCAGGATTCTGTTTCCGTTACAGGAATATTCATTCTTTTGGTGCCAATGGGGGAAAATTAGAAGCTCATCTCTCCATCATATTCATGGCTATCAGGATGAAACTGGCTCCCTTGGAGGACACATTTATGATTGCAAGCCTGCCAAATTTCTCGGAGATTGAGATCATCTGGACACGCCCTGCTCTCTGTCCTGCCTTCTTCGCAGGTGCAATTGGTGGGAATGAGAGACAGGGCCTTTTCAGTGGTGGCCCTTCAGCTGTGGAACTCCCTCTCCAGTTCCTAAGTCAGAATCAACAAATCTTTCTGGAAATTTTAGCCAAAAGATTGGGTGGTCTATTTTTCTTTCTGTTGTTGTTGTTGTTCATTCGTTCAGTCGTCTCCGACTCTTTGTGACCTCATGGACCAGCCCACGCCAGAGCTCCCTGTCGGCCGTCACCATCCCCAGCTCCTTCAAGGTCAGTCCAGTCACTTCAAGGATGCCATCCATCCATTTTGCCCTTGGTCAGCCCCTCTTCCTTTTGCCTTCCACTTTCCCCAGCATCATTGTCTTCTCTAGGCTTTGCTGGGAAGGTTCCAAAGGGGTCCTTCCCAGTCCATTTCTCAGCTGCCGTATCTCCAAAATTATCCAAAATCCAAATTATCCAATGGAATTTTACACACCTCTACCAAATACTTCATGCAAATATGCATGAAGTTACATCCCATAGAAATAATAATGACAACAACAGCCCGAAAGATGCCCACCTCTGACTTGGCCTTCCTCCTGATATATTTCATATTCTAATGCACAAGTACTTTTCTTTCAACACAACACTGCCTGAGCTCTGCGAGTGCAGCATTTTTCCAAATGAAGCATAGAGTGTTTGAGGACTGGGACATCCATAGGGGCTGGTTTATAAAGCTATTGTCCTCCCAACCCTGCTATATGCCTGCGAGACATGGACAGTCTACAGACGTCACATGCAACTCCTGGAACAATTCCATCAGCATTGCCTCCGAAAAATCTGCAAATCTCTTGGGAAGACAAGCGGACAAACGTCAGCGTGCTGGAAGAAGCAAAGACCACCAGCAATGAAGTGATGGTCCTCTGCCATCAACTCCGCTGGGCTAGCCACGTTGTCCCGATGCCTGACCACCATCTCCCAAAGCAGTTGCTCTACTCCGAACTCAAGAATGGAAGGAAATGTTGGTGGACAGGAAAAGAGATTGAAAGATGGGCTCAATAAGCCAACCTTAAAAACTGTGCATACACACAGAGAGAACTGGGAAGCCCTGGCCCTTGAGCTCTACTGGAGGTCAGCTGTGACCAGCAGTGCTGCAGAATTTGAAGAGGCACGAATGGAGGATGAAAGGGAGAAATGTGCCAAGAGGAAGGCGTGTCGAGCCAACCCCAACTGGGACTGCCTTCCAATGCCCTCACTGCGGGAGAAGATGAAGATCAAGAATAGAGCCCCACAGTCACCTATGGCCCACCGCCAGGACACCGAACTTGGAGGACAATCTTATTCGGACAACGAGAGATCGTCTAAGTAAGTAGTAAGTGCTTTTCTTTCATGGATGAAGCATTGCAGCACTTAGTAAACACACAATCAACACAAGGCTGAGTCCCAAAGTGGTTTCCTCCTCGGCTCTTTGTGCAAACGGAGAATCGGGGCGAACGGAGTGCTCATCGCTTTGATGGCCAAGAGCTTCGAGGAAACAGAACTGCCAAAGGGATGGGATGCCATCTGCTTTCCTTGAATGCTTCAGCCCCTCAGCCTCTTTCTAAGAAAGAGAAGAGCTTACCAGGAAGGAAAGAGAGGAAAGGAGGAGGGGAGAGGCACACGCTGTCTCCCGTTCGGGACCCAAAACAGCTGTGCCTGCAACACGTTGGCAACTCTCACAACCCGTCAAATGGATTTCCTTCGGCCCTAATTCACAAACCAACACACCGCAAGGCTTTGGGTCAGAGCCAGCTCAAAAGCAGCAGAAAGAAAACCCAAAGTGGCTTGTCGGTGGATTTTGGTGGCTGCAAAATAAAGCTCGGCATTATAATTGACTGTTTGAATTCATAGAATCATAGAATCCTAGAGTTGGAAGGGACCTCCTGGGCCATCCAGTCCAACCCCATTCTGCAAGAAGCAGGAATATTGCATCCAAATCACCCCTGACAGATGGCCATCCAGCCTCTGCTTAAAAGCTTCCAAAGAAGGAGCCTCCACCACACTCCGGGGCAGAGAGTTCCACTGCTGAACAGCTCTCACAGTCAGGAAGTTCTTCCTAATGTTTAGGTGGAATCTCCTTTCCTGTAGTTTGAAGCCATTGCGTCCTAGTCTCCAGGGCAGCCTGTTCCCTCCTCCCTGTAGCTTCCTCTCACATATTTATACATGGCCCTCATCTTGCCTCCTCTCATCCTTCTCTTCTTCAGGCTAAACATGCCCAGCTCTTTTAAGACAAGGCTTGACACAACGCATGGCCCTGTTCCTCTACAAAGCTCAATCATAGAATCATAGAGTTGGAAGAGACCTCCTGGGCCATCCAGTCCAACCCCATTCTGCCAAGAAGCAGGAATATTGCATTCAAAGCACCCCTGACAGATGGCCATCCAGCCTCTGTTTAAAAGCTTCCAAAGAAGGAG